TCAAGCAAGCTTTTAGCTCATCAGCCATGGTACCCTTTGGAATAACTAGTAATGTTTGCCTAAAATCGCCAGCAATAAGTACAACTACTCCACCCATATTCTTTCCATTGTTACGAAGATCCTGTAAAGTATGGTTCAAAGCTTCTAATGCATACCTATGAGCCATTGTGCACTCGTCCCATACAATAAGTTCACATTCTTGCAGAACCTTTGCTTCGCCAGTTCCTTTGGTAATACTACAGACATGAGTTTGATTTTCCAAAAACTTAAGAGGTAACTTTAATGTCGAGTGCGCAGTACGACCACCGTGAAGCAGCGTAGCAGCGATACCGGAAGAGGCGACCGCAATCGCAATCTTTGACTGATGCCGGATTTTAGCCAATAACAAATTAATGACAAATGTCTTCCCTGTTCCACCAGGTGCATCAAGGAAGATTATTCCACCAGCTTTCTTCTCGATCTGATCCAAAATCGCATTGTATGCAGCTCTCTGATCCGGCACCAACAGTGGCTCATTTGCTGTTATATAAGCATCCAACTCTTTCACATCATAACTTGTTTCTCTGAGCATTGCACTGTTTAATCGATCACCCGAATTTCGTTGAGGAGTTGGGAGCTCTAATTTCTCAAGTTCTTTGCCACCCATCTCTAAAACTTTATTTTCAATAATAATCAGTGCTTGATTAAACATATCTGGTGTATAATCCAAATTCATTCCAGGATTTTGCCTGCGAGCATTTCTCAGAATGTCTTCAGTCAAGCTTTCTTTGTACGACTCCCATAATTGTTTTGGATTGGATGGTCCACAAACAGCTAGTATAAGAGCAAATAGATTTCTTAATCTTGCTGGCGATTGAGCTGCAGCTGCTTCGGACATGGTGGCATCCCATTGCTGATCATCTTCCAGTAATCCATGTAATTGACATGCTTCACGAAATGTTGCACAGATCTGACCGTTTACAGTTCGAAGAGCTTCAAATGAAGTAGGGCCTCTGACCACATGAAGTAAGAGTCGTAGGAAAAAGCATTCGAAATTATTAGGATGCACAGTGTAAACACGACCCAACGCATCTCCTTCTCTAATGTCTGGATGACCAAGCACAGCAGTTCCTTGAACACGCCGCTTAAACACTTTTTCAGACGCGTTCCATGTGTAGTATTTTGGAACATCACAGTACAACAGCGTTTTGGCAAAGTCGTCTTTCTGGCAGAGTAAGAAAAATGCTGTTAGTGTTGTTCTTGGTGGTTCATTAACTTTCTCATGAACATTATCTTCGGTGAAATAAATGCGTTGACCATTTTCCAAATGAACAGCCAAATGAACAACGGTTGGATATCGTTCGTGAATTGGAAAATCCAAGATTCGCCAGACTGCCTCATTGCTACTGATGTATCTACCTAACTGGTAGTTATTAATTTCATCAACTGGTGCTCCATCTCTTCCCAAACCAAACACTGCCTGATCACTGCCCTTGTTGACATATTTGCAGATGTATTTGATTGATTTTACCGAGTTGCAATATTCCACATTAATGTGGGCTTGAAAGACCCGAGAGAGTAGTGGACAATATGGCACAACCCACTTGTTGTCAATTTCGATTTCTTGAATGGAGTTATTAATTCTCATTTTGATTTTGGCTTTGATACCACCATCTTCTGAACTTCTTCTTCTATACGATGGATATCCATCATCACCAGTTTCTGTATCATGCAAAAGTTGTTTTGGATATCTTTTTGTACACTTTTTGTTTTCCATACACGGAGAGTTTGGATTGATACTTCCACATGGACCGTGAATCATAGTCTTGATAATTATTTCAAATAGTCAAGGATCTCGTTCAGGATCAGGTAATTCTGCGCTGATTACGCTATCTATTTGATCTGCTTTAATTTTGTTCTTCAGCCATATCAAAATATGGGCATGTGGTAGTCCTCTCTTTTGCCATTCAATAGAATACATCCAGCATCTTGTTGGCCCAAATACATGGCTTTTGGTAATAATGTTGACCAATTTAATGTGCTTTTGTCTGAACACTCTTGCTAATAGGTCATGACGATCAGAGGGAGCTTGACCTTCCATTAATTCTGCTTGAATTTCTTGCCACTTAGGATTGCAGGTGAATGTTATAAAGAGGTCGGGTCTTCCATGGTTCTTACATAAGTCATAGCGTCTTGTGTATACTCATGCATGTGCCGGGGGCTTCCAGTGAAAGTTGCTGGTAGAATCACTAATTGACCAAGATTGTTAGCACGTCCATCGTTGGCTATAGCATCTTTCACGTGAATGTATTCATCCACTCTAAGCTTTTTTTGATTATAACGTAGAAAAGATAATCTTTCACTTTCGATCTTAGCGTACATGTCAACCACATACTGATGGAAAAGTTGTCGGCACTGTAAGATATGATTGACAGCACCATTTCGTACCATAATTCTATAAGCATAAAAACTCATAGCCGACACCTTTTTGCCAGTGACAGCCATTTCAGTTGTTGGATCAGTTTGTTCGATAAGAAAATGGTAGCCATCCTCACCTTTCCAAAAGATGAGAGGATATTGCAAGGCATCATACGATCTGTGTGTCTCAGATACTCTCTGTAACTGACCATTTTTCTTCTCCAAGACAATATCTCGTTTCTCAAAGTCGTTGCCAGCGATGACAACCGCCACCTCATTTGTCACTGGCTCATTGAAACGACGTGCATGCTCTCCAACAGGTTTCATGTCTGCTCGAATAAGCACCTTGTATTGATCTGTAGGCATTCTTTGAAGGGCAGTCTTGAAAAGATCAACATAAATGTGGTGCTCATGAACCATTTGCTGCAGTTTCTCGACAATGTCTTGACGTACGCCAGGCATGTTTTTGCAACGTTGTTGTACTTCTTTTCGATCGTCGCCCATGAAGTAAATTTGAAGAAATTTATGTTCTTCATTCGAAGGCGGCAGCAGAGATCCTACGCGATGATATACTTGACCCTGAACTCTGAAAGTAGGCATGAAGCCTGAGTCAGACACTTTCTCTGACGTGCCAAAAGATGTCATTTGAAAGCAGGAATTGTATTTTCTAATGTTATCCAAGAAATGCTTCGATTCAGGCGTTGTTCCTGACATTAATGATTTCAGTGGTTCAGGAGGAGGCTGAAGTTCAGGTAACTTTACTTTACCACCAGAGCAGCACATACCTCGTGTTTCTGCATGCCACTTGAGGGCATTACAGTATGGGCAAACATCACTCATTTGTCCAATATAAAGTTGAGGATGGCTGTCATAGTTGTTGGCTGGATCATAACGAAACGCTTCCCCTTCCATAAATGTCCATTGCGCTGCTCTTGAGGCTGCTTGTCGTCTACGCTGATCTTCACTTCGAGTCCGTCTCTGTATGGGATCCTCAGCTCCTCTTGTAGCTGCATGTCTGGCTCGATCTTCTTCCCGTCGACCTTGTCTCCGTTCTGGAGATTCAGCTGCTCTTGTTGCTGTCATTCTTCTTGCAGCTGATGTACTTCTTCCCAAAGAGGCTCTTTTTTTTACTGGCATCACGTAATATTTTTATCTAAATAAGAAATATAGAAAATAGAAAATGCTCCGAAGAGAATGAATTTGCAATCTTACCTTTTGAATTTACTGTTGATATCACGATCGAAAAATATTTGATAACCTGGACGCTTATAATTTTTATATGGAATATTGAACACTTACTCGTTTTTGGACAATTATGTTCAGTGATAGAATAGAATATTGTTTTTATTAAAAGCGTTGAAGAATAAGAAATACTATAGTGAGTTTAGTTTTATTAATGAAAAACAAAAGAAAAAGATGCCTATTTATATAGATGCAAAACAATAGCATATTTCTATATCATCATCATCATTTAACATGACATAAACATTCCAATGACGATATAAAATATTATATATGAGGAGGAATGTTATACATGGCATCATACACAACAAATGACAAAGAAATGAAGTCATATGTATTCAAGAATGTAGTACAGCTGATTATTGAGTAAAATTGTATAAATAGTATATATAGATACCGTTAATACGTCATATTTCTGAGTCATGAAAAAGAACAAAGACGTTATCTTTGAACGTCAGAAAAAAATGCATGCGTCATTGTTGTAAGTAAAATAAACACAAACACATTTCTTTATGTATATAGATGAGCGCTCAGACGGCCTTCGGCCGCCTTCGCTATCAATTATTTTAATTTTTTGGAATGCTGTAATCCTATTGGTCAGTGTTCTAGATTGCCTGTAGCAAGCACAGGATTGGCATAGATAGATTGAACATGTGAAATGTTGTATATGAGCGCTCAGACGGCCTTCGGCCGCCTTCGCTATCAATCGTTTAAATTTTTGGAATGCTGCAATCCTATTGGTCAGTTTTCTAGGTTGCCTGTAGCATGCGTAGGATTCGTTTTTTTTCGGAAAAAAATACATGTCGACCTTCTCCTAGGCGTAAAGACGATTTCTGGAAAGTTTCATAGCATTTGCTCGTACCGTGTCCAAATGCATGAAGAACAAACAAACAGACAGACAAACATTCTTCTTTATATATATAGATATATAGATAGATATCATTGTCGTCGGCGACGATTAAGGTCAAATAGAAGAAATATTT